TGAGATTGAGAGAGAGAAACTCATAGCTGACCTTCAGGATTCTACCAAAAATCTGAGTGAGTTGAGATTTGTTAATGTGAACCTGGAAGCTAAGGTAAAATCTTAATGAATGACCTAGAAAAATAAGAGACTCACCTTCATTCATTCTTGAATGGTTCTCAAAAACTTGATAATCTGTTAAGGATGAACAAACCAGTTGGGAATGGGCAAGGTCTACGATATGCTCAAACTAATAAAAATACCACTGGTACATCTCAGACCACGTTTGTTCCTTCCACCAACAACTTAGGAATGTTACTAATCCTGAACCTAAGGGTAAAAGTGTATTAGGACCTAAGCCTACTAGACAACGTATAACCAATCGACCTATATATCAATATCAACCATCATATAGTTTAGAACCTAGGTTTATTTCCACTTGTCACAATCGTGATGCATTGGGACACATAAGGCCTAAGAGTCATAAACTTGCAACTAGAAGTAGAGGTCAGGATATCTTTAGCAAGGTTAATTTCCTCGCCAATTAGGCCAGCCACTTAACTGAGATGATAATACAGTTGACTAGGATTACGTCTACTTCTAAGAAGGTTTGGGTTAAGAAAAGTGATATTCCTAGATCTAATGAATAATTGAATTGCTATGTTACCCATGTTACACTTAAAGTTCAAAATAACTCTTAATAGGTATCAGAGCTTTGTAGGATCTTTAACCCAAAATTTTGTCTAGATGAGTCAATCAGTTTCTGATTAGGGATCTGAGTGTGATATGGAAATTTGGGAGGCTTATGAACATTTATTTGAAGAGAGTCTTAAGATTAAGAAGGTGAACAAAGCCGTGCTTAAAAAAGTTAATACACTTGAATTGGAAAAAGAAAGCCTTATAACCAAACTTGAGGAGTCGACTAGATGTTTGAATAAATTAAGGGTTGAAAAAGAGTCTTTAGATGTTAAGGTTAAATCTCTTACGAATGATCTTGAAAAATCAAATGCCCAATTTCAAACCTTTTTTTAGCGGATCTAAGAAAATTGATAATATGATAGGTCTGAACAAACTAGCTGGGAATAGAAAGATTTTGACGACAATGAAACAAATTTTCATACACTTCATCTTCTAACAATAAGTTTGTACTTGCCTTAAAATCTAAGGTTCAAAACTTGAAACCTAGAGCTGCTCGTAGGTTCATCCCTACGTATCACCATTGTGGTAAGATATGACACATAAGACCTAAGTGTCTCAAGCTATTGAATAGGAACACGAGCAATAATGTAGGTATCCGAGGACCGAAATAATCGGTACAACATATGTTTCATTCACCTGAGATTCAAAATTTGAAATCTAGTATTGTTTCTAATTTTATCCCTACCCGTTACAATTGTGGTGAGTCAGGATATATAAGGCATTGGTATCATAAATTCTTGAATAGAAATAGAAATCTGAATTTCAACAGTTAGAAATCAGGATTTTGATGGCTGAATTGACTTCCTTACTAATCAAGTGAGTCATTTGACCAAGTTTATGACATAGTTGACTCGGGATAAGTCTTCCAATAATCAGTTTTGGGTGAAAAAGAGTGATCTGAAAAAATTAGAAATTGATCACAGTGCTCTTAAAGGTAAGA